TGCCAGCCAGGAAAGCCCCACCTCCGGGCTCGTTGGCCCGGGCCGCACCAAGAAAATGCCGCTCGCTCTCCTGCCCGGTGGGGCCGGAGCAGCCCAAGAAGACCCTTTCTCTTCTCCCCAAACCTTTCCAGGGCTTCGGACCCCACAAATTCACCCCCTCCATCCCAGAGCCAAACCAAGGATCTCCCAGGGCATTCTTGCTCCTGTTTTAGCATCATTCACTGCTTTGCTTTAATGGTCTCCTTTTCTCGTGCCTCGTTCTCACTTGAACGGGTGTCTTAGAAATCTTGGTGGAAAGGCAAGATACCTTTCCAATACCATCGAAATGACTGATATACAAACAGAAATGATATTTTTTTCTGAGGAGCATTTCTAAGATGTTGTTACACACACGCCAGCAGAAAAAGAAGGCCTTTTCGCAGAATGTTATCCAAGGATTCTCCACCTCCCATATTTATTTGGCAAGCGAGCGTGGGGCATTTTGGAGGAGGCAAGATGGCGGCCGACCCAGGGGCAGCTCCTGGCCCCCCACTGCGAGAGACCACCCCACTCCCCAGCCCCGTTGCTTGGTGCACGGTGTCTCCCCATGGAGCAGGCCAGCCCGATTTTGACATCCCAAAAGAGGAGGAAATCCACCATCAAAATGAGAGGAGTCCTCATCTGGCCAAATCGAAACGAAGGCAGGGTTAAGAGGAGGCCCGCTAAGCCCGGAACCCCAAACTCTGGGCAGCCTCTGCCCCACGGAAGTAGGCGTCCAAAGGCCCGAACATCTCCGTCACATCCGATCTGCCAGGATCACCCGGTTTATGGACCACACGTGCGTCATCTGCCACCGAATCCCGCCCCCCCACCACCCCGAGGTTTGCCTCTGAAATCCCAAGCCGCCCTTTCCCCTGTCCATCCCTCCCTCGTTACAGGCGGGGTGTCCGTTTGAGAAAGGACCCTTTGAAGGGCGCACGGATCGCCCCATGCGCGTTTGGTTTTCGCCATTATCTCGCTTTTTGAGCCTGGCATTTTTTCGTGGGAAGCAAGCTGGCTGCGGAAAGCCACCGCCTGTCGTCCTCCTCCCCCAGGATGAGGGGAAGGGCAACCAGGCGCTCGGGGGTCCGAGAGAACCGCCGCCTCCAGGACCACTGGAAGCACAAAACCGGCCACACTCCGAGTGACACGCTGCCCTCTCCTGGCGGATTGCAGAGTTTTTTGCATCCCATGAACCGGGAACCGCTTCTTCCGCAAGAGAGGAGAGGAGAGGAAAGCGCAGCAGACAAACCCGGATCGGCCTAGTTGGGTAGCAGGGCTGCTGCCCTTCCAGAGATTAAAAAGCCTTGTGAGGGCAGTAACAGAAAACACAACCGGCCAGTTCCACTCGGCCCAAGAAAAAGATCCAGGGAGCTATTTGCTATTAACTGATAAAGGTGTTGCTTCCAAGGATGGGGGATACGACCCGGAACGATTAGATGCCCTCCCATCTTGGTGCACCTTCTAACTGCAAACGGATGAAGCAACCGAGAAAGGGGGGCAGAAGTCCCCCATCCTCAAAGTTTGCAAAAATTCTTCCCATGGAAAAAGAAATGGGAGAGACGCTTGGTGGGGAAACCAAAACGAGCCCAGTGAGGACTCTGGTGTGCACAGGACAGGGGGTGCCTGTTGAAGGCAGGCTGGGACGGGGCGTTTCAGGAGGAGGTGCTTAACCAAGCGCTTTCCACACCGGGACGGCCTGCAACTTGGCCAGCACCCGAAATCAGTCTTCCCCTTTGCCCCTCTTACCTCTTGCTCAGCTCCTGAGAGGCCCTTGGACGGCCATGAGGACTAGAAGCAGCAGAACCACCACGCTTTGGTTCGCCTTCCGATCTCTCTTCAAGCGGCAGTCCGCCTCTCCTCCTTCCTAGCGCTGTGGGGAGCTGCGAGTCCACATCTCTCAAGACCCGCGTGGCCTCGTCTGACCCGCAGCACCCCAGCCCTTCTCCTCCCCTGGGGTCCCCCCCAGATCCCTGTGGCACAGTTTTCATCGAGTTTCCATTTACATTTTAGCATTATGCGTTTCGATGCATGACGGTGTCCTTCGCCGCTTTTAGTGTTTCTTGGACACGGGGCAATCGTGCACAAACCCGTTAAATAAATAAAGGGACCAGCCCCCCGCCCCCTCCTGGGATGCCCCGGAACCTCTTCTCCAAGGCTGACTTTCAGCCTCGGAGAAGGCTCTGGCGTGGGCCTTTTGCCACGGTTGCGAGCAGGGCGGAGCCAAACTGGCCCCACATCCCCGATCCGAGGTCCGGGTCCTTTTCCAGCCTCCGAATTGGGGATCCGAACACCCATCAGGGCTGCCCGTGCATCTGCCGCACCTGAGATCTCAAGGGCTCACCCACGCTCAGGCCACCTGTGAACACCCACAGGTGTGAAACGAGTTTTACAGCCACGCCGCCCGGGCACTCGGAGGAGTTCAAAGCAACGCCTGACACTTGTTCTCGTCTCGCACATCTCCCCCCGCTGTTCCCACCTCCCCGGACCAAGCGATCGTTCCATGTGGTTTGGGTTACCACCTTGTGCAACGCAGACAGCAGAGCAAGACCCAGGAGGGGGGGGCAACGTGCGGACAGAAGAGAAACCCCCAACTTTGGGTCTGATCCAAGAAGTGCCGCGCACCATCCTCGGGCTTGCCATAACAACCACTTATCTAACAAGGGGGCGTCAGACGGCTTGAATTGCCAATTAGCCTCACACCAAGCTGCTAACCAAAAGCAGATGGGCCGCTATGTTATCGCAGTGTCTGCCGAGAGAAACCAGCGCCTTTTCCGGATTAAAAAGTAGCCGCGTTCGGCCCGCTCTCAAGCCAAGAGTCTGCTTTCGGCAACGTGGAGACGAGCATGTTGGAAGAGTCCCAAGACACAAGTGCCCGGCCTACCAGCCCGAGCAGACAGCATCATAACCGGAAAAAGAACTCTGCAGGTCCGGGTTGCAAATCTCAGAACTGGGGGCTAAATCTGACTCTTGGGGTTCTCCGGGTACCCACACACCTTCCCAGCTGTCTTCCCATTCTTAAAACCTGAAATGGCGGGTTTGTCAGGGCACAGTCATGGCTAATGCATGTTTCGCACTCGAGACAGGCCTGGGACGCCCAGGATCGCAGGGCGCCAGGCTCGGGCAATGTTCTTCTCCGGGCCAAAGGGGGGGAGGGATTGGCAAATTTTCTACACACTCTTGCAAGAAAAGCTGAGCGTGTCTCCCACGGAAGTGCCTGGACACCCGGGGTTTTCTCGGCCCAAAAGCTAAGTTGCTCCTGGGATAACTGGAACAAAGCAGAAGACGATGAAGAGATGTGATTGCAATCAGCGGAAGACGGGGCAGACGTCCGCTGTTTTCAAAAAATTCATAAAAATGGCAAGGAAGTGAATTTGGGCTCACCATTCGGAGACATTTCCTGCTGCTGGAAATGGAGGCTCTTGCAGGCAAAATATTCTGCACGGGAGCCGGCAGGCGCTGCTTTGGTGGAGATCCTGAAAGGGGTCGGATGCTGACTTGCCGGGGAGCTGCTGTGGGATTCTGACCTTGAGGCAGGTCTCGGTGGCCGCCAAAGACCCTTCTGCCTCTCCAAGGAGCTACCAGAGAGACGTCAACACGCCGGCGAGCACTCTCGCCAAGCGCCAATAAACCGAGAATGGCACTCCACCTCCGACGGCCGTCGGGTGCCTGCCAGATGCTTGCCTGGGCCCCCATCCCCTGCAGCCACCCAGAAGTCGCTGCAATAGGGATGCTGAAGGAACCTACAAGAGAACCCAACAAGTTTGGATTCCAATCGATCCAGGGCAGGGAATCCCACAGCAGAAGGGCCCGTTCCGCACTGCAGATTCCGAAGGACTTACAGCCTTCTCAAAAACTTTCCAGAACAAATTCAGCCATACAGAAACACAGAAAATAGAGAAGGAAAAAAGGGGCGGGGGGGAAGACACGTCCCACCCTGCCACAAGCTAAAGTTTGAAAACGCGTATTTCAGCAGGATTTGCACATTTTTCATAAATACGTACCTTCCTGTGTTGCATTCTCTCTCTCGACATCCCCTATGTGTATAAGATCTATTTCCTCCCGAGACGTCCCCCAGTTTGGGACATGTTAGGGGCCTCCCTGGAAAGGGCTCCAGCCAGGATGGCCAAGTCCCCAGACTATTTTCCAGGGCTTCAGAGCTCTTCCCAGCCATCCTGGAGCCTCGACTGGGACCAAGCTGCTGGCCCCTCCTGAGCAGCGGCCTTCCTCTGAAAAGATGCAAGGCTCCAGTCCTCATGGTCCTGAAGGAAGGGCTGTCTCAGCAGGGACATAGAAGGATCCCTGGGAGCAAGTCCAACCACCGCAGTTCGGTAGTGCCCGTCTCCACTAGGGGTGCCCAACTCGCGGGCCGCACACGGGGCCCCGGGCTCCTTCGCGCCCTGCACCGCTGCTGAATGAGGCCCGGTGGGTTTTGCAAGGGGCAAGCTCAGCCTTCCCTCACGATTTCTACGCTGGTTTTTACACTTCCCTGGTGCTCAGGGGGGAGCAAAGAGTCAATAAACACTGCGACCCCCGTGCCCCGATTGCGGGCTTTCCACGGGCTGTCCACTCTCGGAAACAGGCTGCTGGGAGCCAGGAACTCCTCTGGCCCTCCGGTTCTTAAACTTGTGTGGTGAAACAGGCAGAATCTTCCGGGCCAGATGGATAAAAGTTCAATCCTCACAGCAAACGGACCGGGTTTGCATGGAACCGTTTGCCTTCCATCGGATCAATCACGGATCTACTTCCCTGTGGAAAGCAAGCATCTGGAGAGCTGGGCAAAGTTCGGGATGGCCTGCAGCCCATTTCCATCAAAGCCCCAGAGACTTCAGAAGCATGCTCCTAATTTTCCTCTAGATTTGCCTCAACGCAACTCAGTGCTCAGGAATGGCGGGTCCCCCCATCCTGTCCCACACGCCACCCCCCAGCCTGTCCCACGAAGCTGCAAACTCTCCGAGGGAAACGCACACGGCAGGCCATCCTTTCTTTCCTTCCCAGAAGCCTTTAATTGCGGAAATTAACGATCAAGCGCAAGGAGCAACTCGTCCGGCGGGGCACAAAATCGTCACCACCCATCCAACTCGGGCTGGGCTGCAAACCCAGATAACTCACACGTCTCCGTTCCACATGCAAGCAAGACTTTCGAGTTCATCGTCCAGAATTCAATCCATCCCATCTCTGATGCAGCCACTGCCAGTTCAGGAGCCCAAAAGCTCCAGGAGCGAATTACTGAGCCAGTGTCGCTGCTCTGTGCAGGCCTTGTTTTTCGGAGCATATCCAGTGTTGAGAATTCAGAAGCATATAATTCTGTTATAAAAATATGTACAGAGATCTTTCACATAAAACACGGGCATAGCAGCATTCGGACCGAGAGAGGAACCCTAGACCATATATTATTATTTCAAATTGCTTCTTCCAATCCTCCGCGAACCAAACTTTGCTCAGCCGCCCCGGCTGGGAAAATGTTCCGCCGACGTCTGGCTGTGTGCGTATGTGCGTTTACATGCAGGGGCGGCAACATTTAGGATGGAAAAGAGAGAATGCAATAGAATTTTAGGAACTTGGGGTCACATCGTTGGACGTTCACACACTCTTCTTGGACGGCAGAAGATAATATTCAAATTTGGGGGTCCTTCTCAGGCTCCGTTTCACTCCGAGAGCTTCATTTCCAAAGGCACAAGGTGAGATTTGACCGACCGACGGCCTCCAACAAGCAACGCGGCAGGAAGGGGTACCGGGAAGTGCATCGCGAGAGATTTCCGCAGCAGATCTGCAACTCCGTGCGTCAGTAATCCGACTGCGGTGGAAGGCGCTGCTGGAGGCTCGTCACTGCATGTAGGGATACCTCCAGTCCCCCAGGGGAGCGTGGGTTTCTTTGATGGCCTGAGGAGACGTCCATCGCAGGACATAGTGGGGGCTCCCCGGCTTATCGTTCGTTCCTGTTTCGAAAGGGAGGCAGGCGGGGTTCAGAGAAGGGCAAACGTTTTCTTGAAACGAACAAATCCAAGTCGCTAGACCTCATGGTCACAAGGGAGAGTTTGGAAAGCCGGCTTTGCACAGTCCGCCCGGTCGGTGTGGAACCCGCAGGGTGGCCCTGAGGGATGGCAGGACCGGGACTCGGAGGGATGCGACCACAACACGCTTTCGTTCGTGGGACGCTGACGCCTCCTGCATCGGATGCCCCTGCGCTCTGTGTTCACCTGCAACCCCCACGTGAGCAGGAGAGCCAGGGGTCTTCCCAGCCAGCTGTCTAGTGCTTGAAACGCAGTGAGTCTGGGGTCTCCGGGGGGCAGTTCAAACCCACCCGGCTGCTCTCGGCAGATGCAGGCAGCTGGAGCTGGTGCGTGGACCCAAGTCAGCATGGGCAGCTATGTCCAGGACGCTCGCTGGAGGCCCGGCTGCGGACCTGCCCTGCAAACTGGCCCCTCCGCCACTCCGGAGGGGACCGGAAACGCTGCCCCCCCCCCGTGGGTCCCACCCAGCTCACCTGACATGCGGGAGCCGCCAAAGGGCTGCTGGGCCACCACGGAGCCGGTGGACTTGTCGTTGACGTAGAAGTTGCCCGTGGCGTTCCTCAGCAGCTCCCTCGCCTCGGCCAGGACGGCCCTGCGGGAAAGGCGGGGGGGCAGGGGAAGACGAGCTCAGAGGCCTGGCGTGGGCGGACGCAGCCCCCCCCCCCAGGGGAACATGCGTGCCGCCCGGCGCACTTTACGCTTTGTGCAAAGACGGGCCGAGAACCTATCATGTTTTCCACCTCTGGCCCATTGCAGCAGAGAAGGGGGGGGCAGTGCAGCCTAGTGGCTAGAATATTCGACTTGGGAGATCCAGGCTCTAATCCCTGCCTGGGCATGGATCTCGCCATGGGCCCTCAGCCCAACCCGCCTCACAGGGTCGTTGTGAGGATAAAATAGAGAGGATGGGGGCCGCTAAGCCGCTTGGTCCTCGCAGGAAGGAAAGGCAAGACGTGAACGAAAGAATGACGCTACGCTGGCGGTAAAACGATTCCGTCAAAGCTCACGGGTGCGGCGAGGCGTGGATCGAGGGGCTGGAAAGAGCCTCTTGCCTTGTGCACGTGCCCCAAATTGCTTGTTTTACCCCAAATACTTGCACCCTGCCAGGCCGGGGGGCGGGGGGGGGGAGCCTGCCATCTGGGCTTACCTATCCTGGGCAAACACCGCCCCCGTGAGGCCGTACGGGGAAGTGCCGTCAATGAGCCGGAGGATGTCCTTGTACTGCTTCTCCGGGTAGACGAACACGGTCAGGACCGGCCCAAAGATCTCCTGCTCCGGGAGAAGGAGAGGCGTTTGAACGGGGGGAGCGATGCAAAGGCCTCCAGGAAGAGGAGCAGCCGGTGGGGGGGGGGGGCTCACCTCCTCCATGATGGGGTCCTTGGGGTCAGTCGTCTCGATGATGCACGGCTGGACGAAATATCCCACCTGGTCCTCACACCCGCCCCCGGCGAGGATGCTCAGGCTGGGCGACGTCTCGGCGTGTCTGATCCACTTCCGGATGCGCTCGAAAGACTGCGGGAGGCCAGAGGGGCGGCTGAGAGCCAGGTCCACGCGGGCCCGGCCCTCACGAGGTCGCTCTAAGTGAAGCGCCCCGAAGAACACGCTTGGCCCAAGCGCATCGACTTAGAAACACAGAACCACAGAAACAGAGCGAGTCAGAAGGGGCCTCCCGGGCCATCTAGTCTGACCCCCGGCTCCAGCCGGCTCTGCTCACGACATGCCCGCCATGTGCACGTCCAGCCTGTCCTTGAACACCCGCACCGAGGGGGCCTCAACCTCCTCCCGTGGAAGCCCGTCCCACACCCTCGGGGTCCTAACCATTAGGAAGTGCTTCCTGGCATCCAAATGGAACCTGGGTTCCTTAAGCTTGCCTCTTCTGGAGTGCGTCCTGCCTTCCTCTGCAGGGGAGGACAGGTCTCTCCCCACCTCCATGGGACCTCACCCCCTTCGGAGGCCACCCAGGTTGGAGGTGAAGGAGACCAGCCCCCGGGAAGAAGGACGAGGCGGGCCGTCCCCCGAACACCCACTTCCCCAAAGCACCAGCTCAGACACGCGGAGGCACAGAACCGCACCCTCTAACAACCAGCTCGTGCCACCAACGGGTTTGCCACTGGAAATATCTCCTGCGGGCAACGGGAAGATGTCTGGGGCAGCCCGACGTCGGCAGGGAGGGCGTTCCATGGAGAGGGGCCGACGCACCGAGGGCCCTGCCCTATGGGGACCTGGGTCCATGGGGAACTGCGGGGACTCTCCCCGGGGCGGCTGCAGCGGTGGGGCAGGCCCGCAGGGCGACCAACCCCACCGTGGCCCCCGGAGGGACGCCGAGGCAAGGGAGCCTGTCCGAGGACACCGCACAGGCTCCAAAGGAATAGCCCCGGGAGCCAAGCCCACCCCCGGGCTCCCTGACTCGCCTTCCGGGATGGCCGAGCGGCTGGGAGGAAATAAAACCACGGAGACGTGAAACCGCGAGGGAGACCGCTGGGCCAGGAGGTCTACTGGGCACAGCAGCAGCAGCGGTGGCTTCTGGGAGACCAAACTTGCCGCGCCGGCCCAGAGAAAGCTTCCCGGACGGCCAGTGCGCGCAGCCCGATCCCCGTGGGCGTGACAGGAGATTAGCGCGACCCGACCGGGAAGCGCCAGACTTCAAAGGAGTCCCCCGTGCGGAAGGGGAGGCGTGCGGGCGGAGGCGGGGGAGCGGGGTTATCGTTATTGACAGATGCCTGCTCTTAAGCTGTGAAAATACGCTTTTAGAGAAAGAAAGCGCCTGCCAGCCGAGCAGCCCCGACTCAGCGGGGCTTCCTTTGGAGGGGCTCCGGCTTCTGCAGGCAGCGATAGCGAGCGGCGGAGCCGGGACCCCCGAGACGCGCGGCCTGGAAGGCAGGGCGGAGGAGGGAGGGCGGCCTTGGGACAGGCCACAGCACTCCGGTCAGGGGCCCCTGCTCGTGCTCGAAGGGGCCGGGCCGAGCTGTCCCCAGCCCCACAACAACGGGGAGCGTATCAACTCGGCTGGTCCGAACCCCGAACTTCTTCAGTGCCTTTCCTGGTTTGCTCTGAACACCAAGCTGGCTTCCAGCACCACGCACGACCTTGCTTTCCAGACCTGGACCTCCCACCAGCCAGCAAAACTCCTCTCGGCCACCTCAAGCCCCTCTCCCAAAACCCGCCTTGGCGTCTGCCGAGCACAATCAGTAACGCACCAGCAGAGCCAGCCAGCCACAACCCACAACGGCCCTGCCTTCGGGCTCCGAAAAGCCAGTGCGGAACAAAACCAGTCCTGGGGAGTCCAGAGGCACGGTGTGCCGAGGTTTTCCCGGGCACTTGGGACTTCCTGGACCCCTGAAGGATCCTGTTCTCTGGGCCCTAAGCCATCAGCCCTTTCTCCCAGCACATCCACCACCCTAGGGGAAGAGTACGGGACTAGAGAGGGGGCCTGTTTGGTGACGGCGCCCCACTTCTGAACACAGAAAGCCCGGGAGGCTCCCCTCTGCCCTTTCAGCACTAGGCCAAGTCTTTTCGCCCCACCCTGGACTTTCTGAAGTTACAGGTTTTATTAAGAACCGTTCACACCTGTGGACGACATCCCTCAAGGAGGCTGTCTGAAGGCACTGGTGAACAGGTCAGGGTTTGGTAACGGCTGGGGGGACCCAAAACGCGATCCAATTCCAGCCTGAGGCACATCGTGATCCATGCCCGCCTGAACGCACAAGCCTCGTTTCCCTTCCGCACTCTTTGCTTTGCACAGCATCGATACGCGCGCGTTCCCACAGGCACGCCGCGACTGTAAATCCTTTGGAAAAGTGCCTTTTTCCCACACGGCGCCAAGCACGCTCTGTGTGCCCCTTTCCAAGCAAGGCCTTTTTTCAAGTACATGCTTCTGGTTGCGGTTCCATGTAGCCCCTCCCAGAGCTGAGAGGTATATGGACCTGTGACCACAGGTGGCAGCTGCTCTTGGTGCCGAGAGGTACAAAACGGATCAATTTCGCCCCAACGCAATTTGAAACAGACGTCTCAAGCCTCGGCTGGGGGGAAATTTCCCTTTCCTTCTGGTGGAAAGTTATATATTTTTGCCAAGAGTCAGGCGCAAGCCAAGAGGCAGGCCGGCCTGAAACCCTTTGCTGAGGGCAGATTAAAAACATAACAAAGCCATGAAGAATAAATGGTTGTGGGGAAGCGCGCACACACAGGGACACACAGTTGCTTCGCCCACTGGGCGCCTGCAATCCTTAGCTGTCAAAATCCCAGTCCTGCTCCTGGAAGCCCGCGGTTAATTCACAAGCCGTGACACGAGGCAGCTGCTAGCCAAGTCTGCCGCCTGCCCCGTTTCCCAGGACCGAGCGGCAAAGGAAAATATTGTGGGAACGCGCTCTGGTCTTACCCTGACCTGGATGCTTTTGGCCGGGGAGATGCGTAGCCCCAGCTGGAGCCAACCCGAGAGATGCTTGTTGTCCTCCTGCTGACAGCAGTGTGGCCTGGGAACTGAACGCCAGACCAGGACCGGAGGGATCTGGTTCTGGCCCCCACTGTTGTGAAGTTCTCTGGGGGCCTTGGGGTCAGCCTCGGCCTAGACCACCTCGCAGGGGTGTTGTGGGAGCCAGTGTGGCGTAGAGGCTAGCACGTCAGGCTGGGACTTGGAAGATGGGGTTGGAGGATCCGTTAAACTGGCTGGGTCCCTGCCTCTCGGCCCAGCCCGGCCCACCTCAAAGGGCTGTTGTGAGAACGAGATGGAGGAGGAGGGAAAGGTTTGCGTGACCCTCCCTTGCCGCTAAAATGGCAGGAGATAAATATATGAAGAAATGAACGCGGAGGAAGAGAGATGAAACGGACAACGGTGTCCTCACGACGGCGGATGTGGGTCCGTTACCTTGTTGTCGATCACAGCGGAGAAGAAGATTCCGAAATCCTCCGTCGGCTGCAGAGGAAACCAAGCGGGGAATCCGTGAGGGGCGGCAGGGGCAGACCAGCACCGTGGGTCACTCTGGGCCAGGACTTTTCCCAGCTCGCAGGTCAGGAGGACGCCCGTCTCTGCCCAAACCGGAGCGCGGCCAGGAGCAGCCCCCGCCTCGTGGAAGGCGGCATCGAAGCTCCACCGGGCCGGTTCCTTTTCTCCCTGCCGAGCGGCCTTCCCCAGCCCTGAAACCCTCCAGGCTGCTGGACTACTGCTCCCAACATCCCCAGTGGCCGGGACTGCTGAGCTTTGTAGTCCCAAACCGCAGGAGTGGGTGAAGCAGCCAGGGAGGGAGCAGGTGCTAGTGAGATTTAAGCCCGGGGGGCTGCTTCCACCCCAAATGATCTGGCCAGCATTCCATGATGCCTCACTCAGCGCAGGGCTGATGGGAGCAGTAGTCCAGGAACATCTGGAGGGCACAAAACATCTGGAGGGGAGGCAGCAGCGGGACCAGGCCTCCTCCCCGGGTCTTCCGAACCCGTCCTCGGGAGAAGCGCCTGTCTAGCACGTTCATTCCCACCCCCACCCCCCCAAAGCGAGATCGGAGGGCAAGGAAGACCACGCGGGGCACTTGGAGGCGTGGGGGGGAAGGGCCGCAAAGCGGGGGGGGTCCCGGGTGCGCGTCAGCAGCCGGCCGGCCGGCTAATCCCATCGGCGCCCCGCCGAGCCGCAGAGCCCCTCCAGCGCCGCGCGGCCCCCCCCAACTCACGTCGCCCACTTTGATCTTGCGGTGCTCCTGCAGCAGCTCGGCTTTGATGTGGGGCCAGAGCGAGTCGGGGGCGTAGAGGCGGGAGCAGGCCGAGCACTTCTGGCCGCCGTACTCGAAGGCCGAGCGCAGCGTCCCGCTCACCACGCTGGGCACGTCAGCCGAGGCGTGCACGAAGTGGAAGTTCTTGCCGCCGCACTCTGGGGGGACGGGACGCGGTCAGACCCTTCTCCCCAGCGCCTGGAGCGCCCTCAATGCCCCCCGCCCCTCGCGCTCTTGCCCTGGCCAAGCCGGCCTGCAGCCCCCTCCGGCCACCGGCTGTGGGGGCGAAAACCGGCCGGGGGTCTCTCTCTCGCCTCCGAGGGGCACGGCCGCTGCTGCACCGAGCCCGCGCAGACAGGCTGCAGGGCCCCCTCCCCTCCCCTCCCCTCCCGTCCCCCCGAGGATGCTGGGCGAGAACGGGGGGATGGCGCCAGGCTCTTACCCCCCGCGAGCCGTGGGAAGTTGCGGTACCGGTCCAGGTTGGAGGAGACCTGTTTCCACAGGCGCTTGAAGGTCCTACAGAGGAGGGCAAAGGGGCAGAGCCACTCGGGGGGGGGGCATCCCCTGGCTTTGGGGCCCTCCAAAAAGCACCCCTTTACCTGCCAGGCCTGCAACTTCCCCAGAGCCCTCAAAACCCGACAGGTGTTTCCCAGGTTTGCCCCCCAAAAGTCCTTGCTCCACCTGCCCCCCATTCTCTGCGGTGACTGCAAGCACCTCAGGGCAGAGAGCCTTTCCTCCTCCTCTAACCCCCTCCCGGCCTGCCTGCCACGCAGAGGAAATGCTCCCTCACTGGAACCCTCTCCCACTCCCACATCCGGCCTCCATGAGGGCGAGAAACTTAGGGAGGCAGCATCCCGGGGCTTCCACGGGGCGGGACCCCCTCCCAGCCGCTCGAGGTCCCCTGGGAGCCACGCCAGGAAGCTAACCTTCCCCCAACTCCCTCTCCTCCGGGGGGCACTGGCGTCCTCGCCCCCCACCGCCCCGCCTCGGCCCCTCGCCTGCAATCTCCGGCTGGCAAACGGGCCGCCAGGCTATTAAAAAGCCGCGGGGCCAGCGATGCCACGCTCCAGCGCGCCCTGCTCCTTAAAGATGGGGGCGCTCATAAATTAGCCCCAGCGCGTGGGACCCCTGGCGCGAGGCCATTAGCATTTTTATTGTTTTGAAGAGCAAGCGCTCGGTCACACTTGAAATCAGGACGGAGAGAAATCAAGGAGGAGAGCAGCGACCGAGAGGCAGGGAGCGTGAGGGAGGGAGGAAGAAACAGGCTGCAGCATTGCTCTCCCGCTCGCTCGCTTGCCCCCTGCCTCTCCTGGGCTGTTCTCGGGAAGCGGCAAACCATAAATGAGACTTCCAGGAGCAGCTCCTCTCATCCTTTCCCCGCAGAAAAAATTCCTGCAAGAACAGCGAGCGAGCGCACTCGCATCTGGCGCCCCCTCCTCCCTCCCCGCCCGTTTTCCTCTTGTGTCATGACTTGGGGTTGCAAGGGAGGGGCTTTCGAGGGCCCCCCCCGCCTTTGGCTGCAAATTGCAGTAAATAAACAAGATATGAATTAACATCCTAAGGGGGAGCCGAGGGGAGAATGCAAAGGCCCTCGAATGCATGGACAGGGAATCAAAAGCCCATCTGGGCAACCTTTCAGTGGCCTCCTGCACATTTCACGGAAACAGAGAAACTGAGCGGGCCAAATGGGGCCTCCCGGGTCATCCAGTCTGACCCCCGGCTCCACTCGTGACATGCTCATTTCCAGGCGGCCCTTCCACTGGCGGGACTCCACCTCCACCATGAGCGGCTAGCGGCTCCCAGCCCTTGGCACTTACGGCACGCTGCCGGTGAAGTTGACTCCGCAGAGGTGCTCCGAGCTGGTCACCGTGTCCCCAAAGACGGGGCCGTCAGCCGGGACGAACTGGATGATGTTGGGAGGCAGCCCGGCTTCCAGGAGGATCTTGTAGACGGCGTAACTGGAGAGCACGGCCGTGTCGCTGGGCTTCCAAAGGACCACATTCCCCTGCGAAGGCGGCCAGAGCAAGACAGTTTAAGAAGCGGGGAGGTCAGAAACCATCCCCTTCTTTGGCAGGCCTCTTATTACAGCCCCAAGAAGGCGCTAGTCCTCATGATGGGAGAGGAATTTTTAAAGAGAAACATGGCTCTGTTAATGGGGCTTGCAGAGGACTGCCAAGAACAGAAACTAGGGCTCTCTGGGTGCTCACTACAGTTCATCAGATCAAAAAGCAAACACACAAATCATAAAACGCAACATAAACTTTCCCTCTACGTGTCCAAACAATGCAAGCAGCTAAAGTCCATTAGCCCAGTACTAAACCTGTCCGAAAAGGCCAGTCAGCGCGGCACCGCAAAGACGGCAGCGTCAGCGCCAGCCAGGCCTTGGGGGAGCCGGTCCCGTGCTCCGTGGGGCCACCACCGAGAAGCGCCCGGCTGCCGGCCCAGCCTCCCCGCACAGATGCTCACCATCAGCGCCGGAGTCCCCGCCAGGTTCCCTCCGATGGCGGTGAAGTTGAAGGGGGAGACCGCAGCCACAAAGCCCTGTGGGGTGGGGAAGAGCGGGTGAGCGGCACGGGGCACCGGGGCAACGCGGGACGGAGGCAGCCACGAGCCACTAGCCCAGGCGCCACTGGGCAAGCGCCACTTGGCTCCGGGGCTCCGGCCCGTGATCTGGTGGGCACGGACGGCGTGGTTCGGCAGCAGAACAAACCCCACCGACCGCGAGACCAAAGGGCTGTGGAAGATCACTCAGGGAAAACCCATCTTCCCAATATTTTAACAGGGAATTGGTTTTATCTTTGATGGGACCATTAATGGCCAGATGCAGCATGTTCATTGCATGAGTTTTGAAAGCCGTCCAGAGACTTTAGTATTCCATCTAAAAACTACAGCAGATAAAAACTCCAAATCAATCAATAAAAGCCTTCTTAAAGCTCGGCGTCCTCCTTCCAAAGAGGCAGAAAGAAGCAGAGTGAAACCAGAACCCTTTTCGCGTGCCACTTTCAGGAGAAACACACGCATCGCCGAGCCGCTGGCGTGTCGAACACAAGCGACCTCTGGAAGCCATTAAAAACAAAACTTGCATCGAAACACTGAAGCAGCCAAGTTGATTAAAACCCAGTAAGAGGAGCAGAAGTTTTAAAAGATGCACGAATAAGATTTCCTTGGCTGTTCTGAAAAACGATGATGATACAAAACAGCCAAGTTTCTAGCCCTCATGGTGGGAAGCTGTGCTCGAAATGAAGACAAGTGATTGCTGTGGATATATATTTTGAGAGGAGAGGCAGAGAGGGAGGGAGGCACGAAGATTTCCAGAGGTTAGCTCGTGGGACTTTAAAAACAGGCATGCATGTGTGACAGGCATACAGACTGCTTTAGAAGGGAGGGTAAGAGGGTGCATTTTGGCTATTTGAGGGGGGAGGGTGAAACCATTCTGGCTATTTTCAGCGTGAATGCATGGAGGGGGGGGCTCAACCAATCTGCTAGACAGCTCAGCTGAGCCATGACCATCACCTCTACCACCACCCTCCCCAAAAACGCCCCATTCCAAAGAGAATCAAGTCTCTAGTCCACATGCAAATGGTTTGTTCGAAGCTTCAGAAACACCACCCAGAATTTCGGAACAATCTCCCCCAACCCCCAAAAAATAGAAAGTCGATGTTGGGGGATCCTCTGAACCCAGGCTGCATTGATCGAGTTGGGCGTTCGGTGCAGCAGAACCAAGATGGGGGTTCCTGCCGAGCCCCACATGGCGGGTGCCGCCCCCCCGGGCCCTGCCTCCGTACCTCAAGGCCCCGATAGACCAGGCTGTTGGTGCTGGGGGGGACACTGATCGGCTGCTGTGCCTCCAGCTCCACGGCGTACTTGGCGTTGAAACGGAAGAAGTCGATCAGCTCCGCGGCCGCGTCTATCTCTGCCTGGATGACCGTTTTGGCCTGGAAATGTGGGGGGGGGAACCATGGGGAGGGTCAGCAAAGAGCAACCGGCAGCAGAATCTTCCCCCAAGGGAGGCGGCTGGGAGGCCTCCGCTCCAAGGATATCAGGGTGCAGGAGCCCTTCCCACCCAGGGGCCAAATTCCAGTTCAAAGGCTCTTGGGGGGCCGCGCTCCAGCAGCTTGTGGGGCCGGGGGGAGGGCCAAGCCCACCAAGGGGCCGTATTTCTGCCATCAGCAAGCCTCAGGGGCGCTCCCCGTAGGAACCCACGCAGCCCCGGAGATCTGCCCCCGAGGCCCTGCCGAAGGAGCCCCTCCTCAGGAAACACGGAGGACAGCGGCACGAAGGGCCTTTTCCGTGATGGCACCTCAACTCTGGAACAAACCCCCCAAAGATGCCCACCTGGCGCCTTCCTTACCGTCTTTCTATATCAACACTATTTTAACTGTGTGTATGTCAGTATTGGGGCACATTTATATTGGCTTTCATGTCTTTTATTTGCAATTGTCGTCTTAAAAGGTACTTTAACCTCTGTTTCATTCTACTTCTGCATTTTATTTATATTGCAATTTCTAGCCTGCCTTCTTCCTACGAAGGGCTCAAGGCAGCTGACATCCTCCTCCTCCTCCATCTTCTCCCCACAACAACAACCCTGCGAGGTAGGCTGGGCTGAGAGCCTGTGCCTGGCCCAAAGTCCCCCAGTGGGCTCCATGGCTGAGCGGGGACTCGAACCCGGATCGCCTGAGTCCCAGTCCCACGCTCTTCGCCACTACGCCACACTGCCTCTATTTTGCATTTTGCATTTTATTCTGTATTTTATTGCTGTGACCCGCCCAGCGAGCCAAACAGCTAATGGGGCAGGTTAGAAATTTGGCCCTAAGTAAGTAAATAAATAACAGTGGGCTTCCTTGAATGAAGAGCAAGTGCTATGCAAGGCAGAAAGTCACCGGCCACCTGGGGATTTGCTCTGTCTCCGGACGCCACTGGAGGGGCCGCCCCTGAAAATCCCCCCCCCCCCGACAGCTGAACCACGCCAGGCAGACAGGGAGAGCTGCCGTCTGGTCCCCTCCCGGGAATACGAAGCTCCCCGCAGGCCCGCCAGGGGGCAAGCGCATCTGCTCGCACGCTCACCTGCCCGATCATGGTCTTGGCCAGGACCTCCGCTCGCCGGGGGCCGCTCAGCAAGTCGGCAGCTTTGAAGAAGATGGCGGCCCGCTCCTGGACGGGCCGAAGGTCCCATTCCCTGCGGGCGGCCACAGCGGCGTTGACGGCCCGGTTCAGCAGCTCCTAGAGGCATGGAAAGACCACAGGCGGTCATGCCCAGGGGTCCCTGCTGCCAGATGGCTTGCACAGGTGTGTAACTCATTACGCTTCTATCTATCTATCTATCTATCTATCTATCTATCTATCTATCTATCTATTTAGGAGACTTCTATGCCACCCCATTCGCCGAAGCCTCGGGGCGGCTCACAACCATAAACAAACTTCAAAATAGAATAATACAAATTAACAATATAAATTAAGTCGCCCTGGCCAAAGAATAAAATGAATAAATACTCTTAACAATTAAAATGACATTTGAATAAAAAGGCCTTTGCCTGGCGCCGAAAAACAAATGACAGCAGCGCCAGGCGGACCTCTCTGGGGAGCGCATTCCATAACTTAGGCGCCACCGCAGAGAAGGCCCTCCTCCGAGTACCCACCCTCCTAATTTCCTTCACGGAGGGTTCCCAGAGAAGGGCCTCTCCCGCAGATCTCAGGGGGCAGGCGGGCGTATATGGACGTAAGCGCTCCTTCAGGTAGCCAGGACCCAAGCCGTTTAGCGCTTTATAGGTCATCACCAACACCTTGAATTGGGCCCGGACTTCAATGGGGAGCCAGTGAAGCTGACGGAGAACTGGAGTCATGTGAACATAACGGCCAGGCCCTGTCAGCAGCCCGGCAGCTCTATTTTGAACCAATTTGAAGTATCCGGACCATCTTCAAGGGAAGCCCCACGTAAAGCGCGTTACAGAAGTCAAGGCGGGAAGTCACCAGCGCGTGTGTCACTGTCGCCAGGCAGTCGTACGGTGTTCCGGCACCTTTTTTTGGTGGATTTTTCCAAGTGATTGTGAATCGCCCTGTTGGGCGTAGCAGGTCGGCGGCAAAAATCATTAACACAGTGCCCGTGGGCTGCTTGTGTGTCGGTGCTGATTGTGAGGGCGCTGCCGGGCTTGGGGCGCTGCTCGGCTTGGGACCAGTTGTGTGGTCGCGCGCTGAGTGCTTACTGCCAGCAGCGACGATTATGTTTGTGTGTGTGTAGAGTGACTGGCTACGTGCAAAAGGTAAGTAAGTTCTTTATTTCAAAAAAAGTTGAATTGAAAATCTTTTTTAGTGTAAAAGTGTGACCCCAAGACGTGGGTTCCGGCACCATTCTTTTTTTTTTTTTTTTGCAAAAAAAGCACTGCATATATGTAAACAAATGAATAAAGTTACTAAGGATTTAAATACGCCTTGTCCATGGCACCCCAATAACAACCCTGCAATGAGCACCAGAATAAATCCAATCGTGGCAGCTGGGACAGTCACGATCGGTGTTTCCAAAGCGGTTGCTAATTACCTTATCGGCGTAGCAGTATTTGGCCACCTTGTGCGAATGGTTGAAAGGCTGGGAAAACAGAAGGCAAGGAAGGAAGTGTTTAAGATTGCAAGCTGCATTTCTCTGCCCTGCCACACCTGTCCGCTCGGAATTAAGTCCCGCTGGGTTTATGGCCAGGGATGCAGGAACGGGGCTGCAAACCGGGGAAAGTCTGGATGAACTGAATGGGCTTTATTCCATATTTCCTGGGACGTCTCGTTAAGGACGGGGTATAAATATTGTTAATATGTAAAGTGGCGGCGATGGCTTTTGCAAACGAAGAGGATGCCGTGGTTAGCCTCTGGGCTGCACGATGCTGACTGGGGATACTGGGAATTTCAGGACAAATTTCCAGGCCCAGAGAAAGCTGGGCACTTCGGGAATTTTCTGTGTACATGGGTACAGGATTGTGTCCTTAGGCTCTTTCTTGTTTCCGTCCCCACAGGGCCTGCTTTGCAAATGCAACTGGAAAGCTGCATATTGCAGAATTTTGGAAAGCTGGGAAGATGTCAGGGCAGTTCAATGTCACGATCTCCCCAAATAACTCACCGACACCTGGTACCTCACATCAGCCGTCCACACTTCCTCTCCCCCCACGACGCATGGGATGGATTCTGTCTTGCCCTTCAGGTCACCTAAAGCCTACAGGAGCAACATTTAAAGAGAGAGATCACTTCCATTATTTGCCCATCGCAGAAGGCTGTGGGGCCACAGGAAGCGAGCCATTCTGCCGGCCCCTGCCAAATGACTGCTTCATTTTTCCTTTCCCCTCCGCATCCCTCTTTCCTCTTATGCCATGTTCTTTCAGAGTATAAACACGTAGGCCAGAGGCCCTCTCATTTCACTGACTGCTCTGGGAGGCTTCTGGCTGAGGCGTGGGAAGAAAATTCCCTTAAAATTATAGTATTTGGAGCATTAAAAACTCATTCATGTGGCCCATATTCCGCTCTTTCCCGCCACCCCTTAGGCCCGGGCTGCCCCGCAAAGCTCCAAAAGCGGCCAGGCCCTTTCTCCCTCCAGTGCAGCAAAGTCCGAGCCCACTACCTTCTGGAGGGCCGCTCGTTCAGGACTGCCGGGCAGAAATGCCAGAACCGGCTCATTGGCCACCTCGACCGCCACACGGTGCTGCCACCGCAGCCTGGAAGAGAGGAAAGAGCCAGGAGACCCTTGGACCGATTCATTCATTCATTCACATCCCGCCTTTTTCTCTTTTTAAAGAACTCAAAGCGGCCGGCATCCTCCTCTTCCTCCTGCTCGCAGTCTTTCCCCCACAACAACCACCCTGCGAGGTAGGCTGCGCTGAGCGTCTGCGACGGGCCCAAAGCCACCCAGTGGGCTCCACGGCCGAGCGGGGGCTTGAACCCGGATCGCCTGAGTCCCCGACCCGCACCAAACCAGAGTCCTCAAGTTGCCCCCAGGAGGCCTCTGGGAAGCCCAGGCGGACCAGCGTCCCCGTTCGTGTTCCCAGGATACTGCCTCTGATGTGGTGGCTAAGCCAGCCCCCCTTTACCCAGCACGTCTCACCATCTCCAGGCAATCCCCACAAGGAACCTAGGAGGGGCTCCCAACCCATATAATACAGGACAACACAGAAAAACCCATAAAATCAGAAAGCCAGAATTACACGACACAACGCCAACACCGGAAGAAAGTGAGGATTTGTCTAATTCTCTTTCAGGGCTGTCCAAGTTGGCAGCTGCGCCGCACGGCGTGGAAGTGAATTCCAGCATTTAACCAGGTGTTGCCTGGAGGCCTTTCCTTGTATAACGGAGTCCGCCAGGACCTCCTCGATCCTGCGGGTGCTTTCTCACGTGGGGTATTTGGGGGGGGGGGTCACGTGGATGCATGGAGAGCTGCCTTCCCCAGGCAGATGGGACCTGGAACCCAAAACACCGGGTGGACACCTGGTGGGGACTCCCTTGCTTCTGGATCAACATGCCTGCAGCCAGCCGACTGGGATTCCTGCGAGGGCTGCAGTATCTACCCTCCCCTGCCATTTTCTATTTTTAAGAGCTGCTTTCCGGACACGATTTATTTCCTCAAGTCGCTGGGCACACGGCTGTCCGAATCTTCGGAGAAGAGCCAAACCGACCCTGCGAATCCATGCCCACCTGGCATGTTGAGACCAAGGTTCAACTTGGTCAGCAAAATGCACGCTCAAGTGGCTAGACCTGTGCACCTCAGGCCAAAGTTTGGCGCTCGCCCGGTCTGGAACGCTGCGCCAGCTTCGTTTTCCGAGGAGACTCCAGCAAGTGCAGGGCAAGAGGTCAAGAAGAGCACACGGAAGTTTGTGTGTTTGCTTTCCCAGGGGCCCAGCTCTGCTCCCTGCACCGTTATCTGGAGCTGTGCTGATAAGGGCACGCGGGTGTGAAGAGGAGGTAATCGGGGGATAAACCAGCTAGCTTTCCCCAGCCTGGGACACTCCAGGGCCCTGGACTACAACTCCTAGCATTCCCGGCAACCGGTCGCAGTGGAAGATGGCGAGCGCATACACATACGCACAGAAATGTCTGCGACAGTGCGGTGCAGCAGTTAGAGCACGGGACCAGGGCGGAGGAGAGCTGGGTTCTAGTCCCCGCTGAGCCAGGCGGCTCAGAAGGTGTCTTTTCGGGCCTGGCCTACCCCCCAGGGCTGTTGTGAAGATGACCGGGGAAGCTGGCTGCGGGGGGGGGGCGGCGTTGGGCCGTGAATGCAACGCATTCAAACAGGGTCGAGGGTCTTGCACCAGCTGGAGCCCCGCCTGCAGCTGAGCGGCAGCGGGAAGGGAATTTTCCACCTGCCAAAGGAATTGCGACACGGGCGGCACCTGGCCCGGTCACAGGCCGCCTCCAGCAACGCTTCCGGAAAGCCCGGGCGGCGGCGGCGGCCAGTGGTTTTTTCCTCCCCAAAACCGCCAGGAAATGGACGGGCTTCTAGAAAGCGCTCCGGCTCCGGCTTTATTTAGCAACCCGCGCGCGCCGGGAGAGCGGACCCGAGCCCATTATCCGGGCCCCGTGCTGGAGAGCTGGGCCGGGCTGGGCCGGGCTGGGCTGGGGGACCCGGGCGCCGGCCCCCGCTCGGGCACGAAGCGGCTCTGGCCGGTCGCAGACGCTCCGGCCGGCCTGCCTCGCGGGGCTGTTGTGCGGGCAGGACGGAGACGAGGAGGAGGAGGGAGGGCCGCCAGCGGCTCTTGAGCGAGAGGGGCTGCAGCTGCGCTTCTTGCAGCAATGGAGCAGCGCGGCTGGGATTAGCAAGGCTTGGAGCGCGGGCAGGTGGGGAGCTGCTGGACTACAGCTCCCATCCTCTCTGCCCACCGGCCGTGAGGGGGCGGCTGCTGGAGGCTGGACTCACGAACGTCTCCCGCGGCTTGGGGAAGGCGGAAAGAGGGCACTCCAAGCCGGGGAGGGCGCCGCGGGCCTCCAACACCCTTCAGCCCCAAGCAGCATGGCCCGAAGGCGGGGGGTGCAGGGGCTGGGCAAGAACGGCTCGACCTTTTGGGGGAAGGAGAAAACGCAGAAAGCGGGCGGCCCGCACGGGGAGCGCCCGGGCTGCAGCGCCCACCAGCCTCACCCAGCAAGGCCAAGGGCGGGGAGAGTGGGCTTTGTAGTCCACACTCTCTTTCTCCGCGACATGGAAGGACACGCTTGGGAGGCGACTCCCTCCCTCCCTCCCTCCCTCCCTGCCGGCCGGCCAGCTGCTGGCAGACTCCAGCACCCACCATCCCCAGCCCCCCCGACTCACCCCGCCCTGGGCAGCGCCCCGCGCAGCCCGCGCAATAGCAGCGACATCCTGCGCGTCCTCCTCCGCCGGGCAGCGCGCAGCACGCAGCGCGCGGCCGAGGCACGCGCAGGACTCCCCCGCTCGGCCCGCCCGGGCTGGACCACCGCCGAGGGGGGCGCGGGGGCAGCTCTCCGCGCCGCCCTTGCCAGAGCGCCGCGTTCCTCCAGCGGCCCGCCCGCCGCGAGCCAGGCTGGCCAGCGCAGGCGGCATCGGGGCGGCTCGCTTACTTATTACCACTTTTGCGCACGCAGACATATGTTTTTCGGAGTTGGCTCCCCTCTCGGGGAGCAGCGCGTGGACTAGTCCGCGCTCTTCGAGGAAGGGGCGGCAGCGCCGCAGCCAATCGGAACGCTCCTCTTCAACTTTCCGACCAACCGGGCGCCAGCTTCAGGTTACAACCCCTGTTGAAGGGACTTAAAGGGGCAAAGGAGAGGCAGGGGCCTTAAAGGGGCAGGGGCGCGCCCGGCGCCGGGAATAGCCGGGAAAAGCCTGCAAACTAGACCGGAGCGAAGAATCCGCTCTTCGCCGCGGAGAGACGCTTCCAGAATATTCCCCTCCGAGGCATCCTCTCCACAGGCCCTGAGCGTTGCACGCCAGGCGGAAATCCAACTGGTGCAGCACTCCACATCCCTACCGGTGCGGTTTAGACCCGTTGCTGCGCAGCCCTGGGCTCGGAGCCGGGGCAGACGCCGTGGACACCCGATCCCCCCGGATCTCCACGTTCAGAAGAATAAAGTAATTCAAACACTCTAACTGGGCTGCCAGTTCATGGGCTCCCGAGCGGCCCCGCGCGTCTTGCAGCTGCGCGCCGCTCTGCGACTCATCCCGAGGTTCCCGGGCAAACGCGCCTCCGCGTCCCGCTCATTCCCCGCGCTGGGGCTCGATACGGCGTGTCTTTGTCTCGCCCGTTTGCCCCTTCGCCGCCAGCCGGGCGGGCTGGGGCGGCCATTTTGTGAGAGAGCCCCCGGGCAGCCCCCGCCCGCGCGCCAAGGTTGGGGTGCGGGGTCGGGGCAAAGCCCCTTTTCCCTGGGCGGCCCCCGCGGCCCGCAAGGCGCCTGCATCGTGTTCCCAGGGCGGACGCGGCCAAGGCGCCCCTTCGATCGCACCCCCTGGGTGGCGGGGGGGGGGTGGCGGCAGACCCCGCTGGCCCCGCAGCGCGGCTACCCCGGCACTGGGACCGGCTGCGGGACGCGCGATGCCGCGGCGGCCGCAAGGGAGGCAGCCCCCCTGCAGGCCCCGACGCGCCCGGGCCCCGCGCCCCCTGCTCCTCGCGGCAGCCGCCGCCTGATCCGGATTTGAACTGGTGTGGATCCGGAGCGGGTGCGAGCGGCCGAAGGCGCCGGCCAAAGACCCGGGGCCCCGTCCCGGGGGGGGGGGGAGCCGCTCCGTCAGGTGCGCCGAGGGGCAGCCGAAGCCCGAGGCGCGTGGGGTTCAACCGGCATGGACAGTTGCATGGGACCCTGCGCCCCGTTTTGTGGCGCGGAAACGCAGAACCATGTGGCTCGCCGAGCGTTCTGGCCTACGGATCCAAGCAGCCTCAGCCAGCATAGCCCATGGTCCAGGATGCTGGGAGCTGTAGTCCAGAACATTTGGAGGGCACTCTATCGCGGCCCCCGCCTTGGACTCTCCTGCCCTCCTCGCAGGACCCTGCATTCAGCTGCTGCCCCCATGGACACCTCTCCCGGCTTCCTCCACGGGGCCTCCAGGTTTAAATTCTTTTGGGATGAAATACGCGCTCCCCGGAGAGGTCCGCCTGGCGCCCTTGTTACTTGTTTTTCGGCGTCAGGCAAAGACCTTTTTATTCAAACGTCATTTTGTTAATGGTATTTATTTTATTCGTTGGCCAGGGCGACTTATTTTACATTGTTAGCTTGTTTTATGTTGTTAATTTATAGTATTTTAATTGATTTATTTGTAAGCCGCCCCGAGGCTTCGGCGAATGGGGCGGCCTAGAAATTTTCTAAATAAAATAAAAAATAAGAAATATTTTTAGGAACAGACCGGCTGCCCATCAAGGGGTGCCTGTCCCCAAAGCAAAAGGCAGGGGCCCGGCCGGGCTCCATCCAGCCCAGGACTTGGCCAGCTTGACACCCGAGAGGCCAGGATGCAATCGTGGGACCTTTCGCGCCCAAAGCAGGTGCTTATCGCTGAGCTACAGGCTCGACCTCGAGCGCCACGGGGTGTCCATGAGCCGGATCCCACGTCTGCCAGAGAGATGGATCGATCAATCGGGGAAGTTCTTTGTTCGGAGGCAGAATCGGCCCTTTCAGGAACGCGTGGCGGTTTTGCAGGGGCAGAGAAAAACGACACAGACACACAAAGCCACTTTAATATCCAGGAAGTTTGGCATTTATTCTAAGGGGTTTCTTCCTTTTAAACAAAAGTATTACCATAACCCATTTCCCCCACCAAGCCTGGGGACCAGCTCCGGTTCACGGAGAAGCCCGTTTGGTATGTGTAATAAGGACAACACCCTCCAGCCCGTCTCCAGCGAGAATTGGAGAGCGGGCGGATGAACCAACTTCCGGAGCTCCTCCGACGGCGCAGGACAGTTCGGACGGGGCTGAGGGAGCAGGTTCCCGGCCCAGGCTCCCGGGCACGGCTTTTGGCACTCGCGGGGACGGAGCAGCACCGAGGGACGGCTCCTCCGAAGCGGAAGCCCCGGGATCGCCAAGCGCACACCTGCAGCGGGCCTGCGAGTTCCAGGCAGGCATCTGGGCTATTCATTAAGCCGGGGAGGACGGACGGACGGACGGACGGACTGCGGAACGAGGGAAGGGCAGGTGGGACGAAAGAGCGGGCCCTTCTGGAGCGAGCGCGAGAAATGGTCCATCCTTGGAAGTTTCTTTTGCGGAGAGCGCAAATACATTAGGTCTAGCTAGAACCCCCACCCCTTAAAATAGGCTAATATACCGAATATAAAGCACAATATGTACAACAATAAACAGTTTCATTCCCACTCTTAAGTCAGTCCCTGCAGCTGGGGGTGGGGGAATACTTAAGCGACTTCTGCTGTGAGGGGAAAGGCGTGCGTGTGTGTGCGTGCGTGCGTGACGGCTGATCACAATCGCCACCCCTTTCCCACCCACACCCAACCACCTATAAAACCATAAAGACCAACTTTTGGGACATGGTCCCTAGTGGAGTTAAACTGTTTGGAAAACAGTATCGGATTATTGCAAACAGAGTGTTCTTTTCAGGCGGCTCCGCACAGTCGGGCCCGGGCTGCCGCAAAGGGAAGCGGGGTCCCTTTGGCTGAAATTACATCACCCACCCATTGCGCCCCCCCCCACCTTCTGCTCATTTCTGCAGCTACTTTGAATCATGCAATTACTATGGCACTGTTTCACAAGCGGTACGAGGGCCTCCGCCTCAGAGCCGATTCTGCCCAGGAAAGTGCAGCACGGACGGACGCCGAGCGGCGGGTTTGGAAGGGCGACCACACAAAGCCGCTCGCCCACGGAGGTGCGTGGCAGCCCACCTGCATCCTCCCACGCACAGACTCGAGTGGCCCAAAAGGAAAAAACAACGGTTTATCTTTGGTTCACTTTTCCTCCGGCTCGGTTGCCTGGCAAGGAATTCTGCTCACCATAGGTGACAAGCTACCTGCAAGACTGTCCCTGGTTCAGGACCTACGAGAAAGATCCGGCCTCGACACCCTATTTGAACGACAGCAAGGGGGAGTCACATCTCGCACCCTCTCCCCAGGTTTCCCCATCAGCGGTTCTCAAAAGGAGCAAGCCAACTAAAGGAGGTTTTGCAACGGCATTTGACTGCGGCCTCCCGGCCGCACGCCCCGGCCGAGGGGCCACCGTTTTGAAAGCAGGCTGCAGAAAACAGGTGCTGCCTTCGTCCTTCAGCTAAACCGGCTCAGGGGCCTTCGCCTTCCCAAGGGAAGACGTCAAGTCAACAAGGGACGAGGCGGAGAGAGTTTGGCGGACGGCGCTTTTCAAGTTCACCTTCGCCGCTCGTGCGGAAAGCAGGGCCGGAAACGTGTCGGCCAGGGAGCGGCTCGTCTCTGTGAACATGGGCAGCGGGGACGGAAGATTTCTAGTGCTGGGAAGGGCTGGGTTCAAGATCCCGCAACGGCATGCCTCCGTCCTAGCCCCCAAGAAGCACTTTCTGCCCTGGCACCCCTTGCCGACCGTCGCGGGACCACCCTGTTGCAAGCCCGGGCGACCTGCCTACCCCTTCTGACAGAGGCAGGGGCACACCTGCCGTCGCCCACAGCCAGGCGAGGCTCTGCTTCTGCTTTGGGGAACAGAAGAGCACCCGAGGGCTCTTCCCTTTACTCCACGTCCACGGGGCAAAACAAGCAGGCCGGATTTGCAAAGGAAAGCATCTCAGAAGCGATCCGCTCGGCTCTCTAAGACCTCACTGCAACCAGGGCCGGGAAGGGGCCGCGTGCTTCGCAAGCCGTTCCCCTGCCCACGAGCAGAGGGCTTCCGCAACGGGGAATACGTAAGCGCAAGACGGAGCCCCATCCTCCGCTGAGCCAAGCGCATCCATGACAGGCAGCGAAAGCACGAAGTCAGGCCGAAACTCACGGGCACTGCCAGGGCTAAGAAATAGATAAATGCATGTCCAGGGCAGGGATCTGGAAGGGTGTCTCCCAGGCAGACTGCACCGGCCCTGACAAATTCAAAGCAAAGTGCCCGAAGAGACAGGCAGCCCTCGCGAAGCCCTGATCTCCCGATGTTTCGATTTGCCAAATGCCTCCAGATACGAAAGAGGAAGGGGAATAAACCCTCTGTCGGCTCTGAAATAAGCAAGTGAGCTAGAGATCGGCGCGCCGGAGAGGACTTTGATCCGAGACTTTCTCCACCTCCTCTTGCTCTGCAGAAACTGCCTGCTTTGGACACACGCCCCCACCGAATCCCGGAGTCCGAGAGCGAGTTTTCACTCCCAGTGGATACACCCGGGTGAGCAGAGATTTAGGAATGCATCTGGGAAAAGGAACTTGGTGGCTCACATGTTCACCTGGATTTCCTCTCTGCTCGCCGGAAAGGCAGTGTGGGCATTTTTCGACTGCTGTAGCTTGTTAAACAGCTTCCCCCGCAAAGCTGCCAAGAAATCTTTAGGGTGTCTCAGCGTCACCCCTTTAAAAAGTAGTGTTGATTCGGAACAACGGTTGTTTTAAGTTCGAGGAATTTCATTCGAAGGCTTGTTGCTTTGTCTGTGGCATCCGTTGCAAACACTTCAGCTCTGTTTATGGAGCTGAAATGAAATCATGGGATTCCAGGAACAGATTTATCTTATGGCCCATAGTTCTATATTAACCATTTGCCTTCACAAAACAGCCGCAAGATTTGCCTGCTGAAAAAGCCAAATTTTGTGCTGACTTGGTTTTGATCGCACTGCCTTGCTATCAGGCAAAGAAAAGGGGCCGGCTTCAACTCCCCACCCACTTAAAAACCCACATTGTTCCCCAGTTTTAAGGTCTTTTTTTAAAAGTGTCAATATGACACTGCCTTATGAATACAAAAGAAAGTATTTACAGCTTTACAGAACACGAAGGAAAAAAAGGAGGTCATTAAAATCCTGTCCAGCATTTTCATGTGTGTATATATATAGAGATATATATATATATTTCCTGACAAGCTTTAAGTCTGGTCGTTACAGGTGTGCGCCTGCAGTGCGGACAGAATGTGACGCGGAAGCAGCGGCACGGAGATCCCCCAGTGGTGCAAGGCTTTCTCGCGCTCCCTTTATGTAATCCCAAGATCCCTTAAATAAAAGAAACCCCCCGACGTTAACACAAAGACAGGACGCTTAAATACAGGTTGCGTACAATACCGAAGACCCCAATCACCCTCCGAACCCCACGCTCCGTTCCCTGCTACCATTATTCTTACGCAGACAATTCCCGCCCACCTTCTACACCTACAAAACATACGATTCCTACATGGCAAGAGCCACCTGCCAATGGCCAGAGACTGAACCGTTGGGGGGGGCACCCCCTCCGTGGCACGACGGCGCCCTCGCCCCACTGGCGAGCCCCCGGAAGGACCAGCCCTCTGCCCCAGCGAGCCCCCTACTCTGTATCCAAACATGCCGACCATTGCAAGCAAAACCTACAAACCATGCTCCTGAGCGATTATGTTTTAAAAAGGATCTGTTCAGCAGCGGTGGAATGGGACGGCTGCGAGCCGCTGCGGTTCGCTGCCCCAGAGGCCTGAGGCAGCTAAAAGAAACGTCCGAGCAGGACGGGCGCACCTGGACGGAGGCGCCTGGGCACGGGGAAAAGGTGTGCGCAGGCGGGGAGAGTCCCGCGCCGGCTTGGGGACCCCGGATGCACTTGGGAAGGCACTGGGTCTCCAGACCGCGGGGAAGGGGCTGGGCGGGATGGAAGAGGAGGGCTGCGCACTTCACCGAGCCCGGCAGCCCTGAAGGGAAAAGCGCAGAGTTTGGGCCAGGAAAGGGGAGCAAGGGATCAGCCCCTGCTCAGGGTTTGCTGAGCTACAGAATGAGGAGAGCAGCGCAGCAGCACCCCCCCCCCGCACCCCGGGGCCGTTTCATGAGTGGGGGCTCGGGCAGAAAACTCAGCAAGGGGGGAGAGCCAAGGCAGGGGCTCGGGGAGCTCCGGCTGGACCCGGGGCATCTTCCTCAGCAGGCCGGTAGTGTCCAGAGGCTCTTCCGCAGATGAGCTGGGCTCCTTCCGTTTCCCCGGGCACGGTTCATACTCCGGCCTTTAAAAATCTCCCGCCACACAAAACTGATTCTCAGTATAACTGGAAAAGGCTCGGCCGTCGCCCTTGCTCCAAGGCCCCGAAAGCCACGTTCCTTCCGGACAGAGGTGCCGACGAGCTCCCCAGGGTGTCTCCCTGGATCGGCCAGCACGTGGACGGCATCCCCGGAACGCACGTCTTGCCCCGTTCTGGGCAAAGACGTGCAGAGAAATATAAAAGCCGCGGCGGGAGAGAAGCGAAGCGAAGCGTCCTGGCCAGAACAGAGGAAATGTGGACCTGAAGCACCCCGGGGACTGACCTCCTTGGGAGCCCCCGGCCACGCAAGCCCCGCAGACGCATCCGGGGCGCGAAGCGCGTGCTCGGCCCCTTCCCACACGGGGACAGAGCTTTCCACGGAAATAAGGCGAGCGCTTATGCTTTTTTTTTTCCTGGTTGTGTTTTTGCATAGTAGGTAACAACAGTGACACCCCATTCCACCTTGCTTCTGCCCTTTGCCCCGATTTGCCCCCAAGCTCTCCCAAATAAATTTCGTGCAGGCCCCCCAGAGGGTCCTTCCCAGGTGCCGGGGGAGGGGGGAATACGATGCGCGGGTGCCTCGGAGCCGCGTGAGCCGGCGGGGTGGGCCACTGAAGGGCCAGGACCGGGCCGGCCACCAGTCCCGTTCCAGCCGAGTCGGGTCCCTGGGGCATCTGGCCACCCCATCGCCGCCGGGCCGCCCTGTCCGCGGGCTCCCGGCAGCGCCGCCGGCCCTCGCCTTCGCGGCCGCGGAGCCCTCTGCGGTCCTCAGCTCGTTTTCGGTCGCGAGTGACGTAGAAAAAGCACGGCGGTCGTTCGGTGGAGCTCCCAATGGCTCAGCTTGGGGCGAAGGCACAATTGAGACGCCGTCTTCGTTTCCCTCGGAGCCCCCCACGTGATCGTAGAAATTTGTACAGCACCAATCCTCGGGGGGTGGGGCGGGGCGGGGCGGGGGGCGCCCCCCGTGCTCTCGGGAGCCCCACCAAGTCTCTGCCCTCCGCCTCATTCCCCCGCCCCCCCGGCGTGCTCGTGCTCCCCCCGTCTCCCCTTCCGCCGGAGCGCCCCGGCCTTCATCAGCTGACCATCGGCTCGACGTCTGCCTCTCTGTCAAACTCGTCCTGGATCTCGTCCGTGTTTCCTGAGTCGCTGCTGGCTAACGAGCTCGGGGACGGGGAGTTCCTGCCGGAAGAGGCGACGGGGCGGGTGAGGCCGGGCCCCGTGCGCGGAGGGGCCGCCGCTTTCCCCCCCCGGGAAGGCCATCCCCCTCTCCGCAGAAGCGGGACGCCCTCCGGCCGGGGTGTTCCCCGCGTGGGCCGTGCCGGGGAGCCCTCCGGGAGGGTGCGGGCGAGCGGGTGGCGGCGCGACGGACGGACGGACGGACGGACGGGGGGCCCAGCTGGCACGCCTACCTTTCCGCGGAGCCCTTGATCAGCCGCCGGCAGGTCTCCATCTGCACGTCGAGGCCCCGCTTCATGCTGCACATCTCCATGTACTCGTGCAGGTGCCGGTTCATGTCGCTCTTGGCCGTGGCCAGCTCCAGCTGCAGGGTGGGGAGGAGCGGGGTCAGGGTAGCCCGAGGAGCAGCGCCCCCTCCCGCCCCGCCCCACACGCAGGGGGCAGGGGAGCACGGCAGCGCCCCGCCTCCGCAGCCCACGGCTCCCCCCGCCCCTGCAGGGCCGAGCCGGGGAGCAGGCGCTGGCAGACCCGCGGGGGCCCAAGCCCGGACCTCGGCCCCGGGCCCCACCGCCACTGCGCCTGGGAGCCACCCGGGCAGGAGCGGCCGCGCGATCCTCTCACCTCGATCTGCCCGATCGTCTCCTGGTACTCTTGGTCTCTCGTTTTGAAGAACGATTCCGTTTCGTGGATCATGTTCCCGAGGTTCTCCTCTTGCTGGGAAGGAGAGACGGGGAGACATTAGGCAGACGCTCCCAAAGAAGCGTCTTCCGGAACCTCCCCGGGAGGTGGGCGCCAGGCCGGGCACGCACCTGGGCATGCAATCGCTTGCTCTCTCTCTCTCTCTCTCTCTCTCACACACACACACACACCATCGATCTGCCATTCAACGCACTCCCACACCAGGTGCAAAGCAAGTCCGTCATCGGGAAGAAAGAAATGAGGACGGAGAGCGGCAGTGCTGAAGGACCACGTGACCCGTCTTGGGTTCCCTGCCAAGAGGAGTGGAGGTGGGGTACACGGAGGAGGAGGAGGAGGAGGAGGAGGAAGGCAGCCTTCCCTCACATGCCTGTGGGAACAGGGAGGAGCCAGCAAACAGGAGGGGCAGCGAGGGCCGGAGGTTGGCCCCAGGGAGCTCGTGGCCCCCCGAGACAGACCAGGCCTGCCTCGGCCGCCTCCGCCCTCTTCCTCTCGGCACCCAGCACGCGGGGTTGACTTTTCCAGTCCTCTTCCCTGGCCAGGCCCCACCAGGCAGCCCTGAACCCCACGGCCGTAGGAGAGCTTTCGGGCCGCCTCGGGAGACCGCAGCCCGCGCCGAGGGCCGCCGGCGAGTGCCTCGCTCGCCTGGGAGCCGGAGCAGGCCAGGAGGCACGGCAGAACGAGCCCGGGCTCCCGGAGTCAATTAGTCTTTCTTCCTGATCTGCATCTACAAGGCAAAGGCACCCCCTCGCCTCGTGTAATTTTCAGTTAGAGGGGATTTAAGCCTCGTAAAGCCTTTAGAAGCAGTGACAGGGAAGGCCTCACGCCTCTAATGCCCCACGGAGAGCCGTGCTTCTCGCCGGCGCTCAGCTCTATGCAAATCAGCTGCCACTAATTCCAGCCCATCGCTAAAGCACTTTATCGCCACGGCACTCGCGGCAAGACGCGCCTGGCCGGCGAAGATGCCGCGTTCTGCAGCCTCAGCGCTTTGGCGTAATCTCTCGCCGGTTCCGGCGGCACGGAGGGTTTTGCAAAGGTGGGACGTGGCGGGCACCGGAGTAAACGGAACGCCGGGCGGGATGGATCGTGCGGCTGATCCGGCAGGGCTGCTCCAATCCCGCCCAGGGCTTTCCGACTCTACGGGGAAGGGGGTTTCTCGCGTGCACGGTAGTGGCCCCCACCGGCAACCGACACCGGAACCAGAGGCCGCCGTCTAAGCCAGGGAATGCCTCCCCGTGGGACGCCCACATGGCCACCCTCTGCTCGCTCTTTTTGAAGGTTTTGAAGGTGCCCAGAGCGGGGGGTGGGGGGTGTCCCTGCGTGTTCGCTGCAGCAGGAGCTAGGAAAGCCCCAAAGACCGGCGGGTCCATGACGGCCTGCAGCCCCCGGAAGCAGCGAGCTTTTGCCGGGCTGACTTCCCACGGATGCGTGTGCTGGGCTGCCGTTTCCGGGGTGCGAAACACCGGGAAGGAGGCAGGCTCCTCCCACGCCGTGGGGCATCCGCCAGCTTTTGACATGCTGCAAGATTGTTGGCTGTTTGGAGAAGAGGGTTCGTTCTGCACGTGGAACGGACTTCCCAGAGCAGCTGGCCTGGCACCACCGTGGCCGTCTTTCCGGCGCCAGGAGAAAACAATCCTATTCTCCAGACATTTTAATACCCGATTTTAAAAATACGGTCTTATAGGGTGTAAATTTGATAGCACCATTTTATATAGTTCTTTAGTTTAATGTATTATTTTAACCTATTTGTACCTGACCCCTCAGCAGCATCTTGGGATGTTTGTATGTTTTTATCAGATGGTGTTTTTAATGGTGTTTTTGTAATCTGCTTAGAGTCCTTGGGACTAATTTAATTGTGGGATATAAATTGATAAAGGAATAATAACAGCAGCGACAATGAGAGAAAAGCAATACATTCTCGTCCGACGAGGAGGGCTGCAAGGAACAATGGACGCCTGCAGCCGGACAGGAAGCGCCTGGCCGCAGGAGAGCTTTGAAACGGCGGGACAGGAAAAAATAGAGAGGGCAGCCAGGGCCCACGTCGCAAAGCTGCCCCTTCCTGTTGGCCGTTTTCTCGTTCTCCAACGCCGGCACGACTGGAAGGGGCAAATAAAATTCAGAGGAACCCGCCAAGCCGTACGGCAGCCGCTCAGAGGCAGAGGTGTTTTAGCCCCTCGCCGTGTGGGCGCGAGGAACCAAGTGCTGCTTTTAAGTGATGGGCTTCCATGCAGCAACGCCACGAATTCCAAACTCACCTCGCCCTGCAGCTCAATGGACGGGTTGCAGTTGGTGAAGTCTTCCCACAGGAGCAAGGTGTCTTCGTTCTCCTCCCAGGTCAAGCTGTCGCAGTCGTCGTCGAAATCGAACGTCTCGCGCCTGCCGGAAGAAATCGGGGAACGCTCGGAAAGGCGCTCGGAAAGGCCCCGGTTCGAGGTGGGCTCCCGGGCTGCGTTAGCCCTGGAGCAGAGCCGTGCGCAGAGTGCTTCCAGCGAGGCACGGTCCCGCTGCCGAAAACCTGCTCAGCACCGGTCCGGTTCTGCCACGGGACGGCACCATCGCCGTCCGACCGGGAATTGCAGCAGCAGTTCGGCGGCTCCCCCGCAGGGGGCGCTGTGCGTCGCACCAGCCGGTTCAGGCGCTTGGCACACAAGCCAGGAGGGGTCGGAACCTGGACAAATGCTTGATTTTCTACCTGAGTCGCCATTTAATGTTTAAATTAATTTAACCCTTCTAAAATTTCAGCAAAAAAGAATACTTGATTGCTGCAGTATATATGATTAATAACATTGAGGCTTGTGTATGTTGTCACTATTATATTTTGTAGGTTGCCCAGAGAATCATCCTGACTGGGGAAGAAATTTAATGAAATAAATGAATAAATAAAATTTAATAAAATGAATAAATAACATTTAATAAAATGAATGATAAAATAAAAATTAATAAATGAATGATATTTAATAAAATAAATCAAATGCTCCGGGGGCACCTCCGTTCGCGACTCAGGGTCACTGTTTCGTGCCAATCCGGCTTCGTGCGAGCCCCTCTTGCGATCTGCCCCTCTGGCGACTAAGAGAGCTCCGTGAAAAGCCACGCGAGTGACGCAGCCCGGCCTTTTCCCCTGGGATGCAAAATCGGTGAGTCGCCATGACCAAGGCGGCCCTCAAAGATGAGCACACGCCGGGCCGGATGCCCCTTCACTGGGCCAGGTTCTGCCCAAGGGAGCAATTCGGCGGGCTTCCCTTCCCTTTGGACCACGCGAGAATCCACAGACGTGAGCCTGTTTCCCAGGCGTCTTTGGGGGAAGGGGACTCCCAGCGAGTTCGGTGGATGCTGCAAGCCTGCCTGTTTTTCTGTAACTTTGGCCGAGCCTAGCAAAGGCACTGCCTGGCCGTGGATTCTGGGCTTTGTTTTCTCATGGGCCACCACACGATCTTTGGAGGGGGAGGTCTGTGCAGCCGAAGGGCCACAGCAGACACGATCTGAGTGGAGCAACACCGACACCCAAGCCAAGACCAGCGCGAAGGATTGCAAGGCGAGCCTTGCAGTCCCTTGGGAAAAATCCGTCTCGGCCCGCGGCTGGTGCTCCCTGGCCCCCACGGCAGACATTCTCGCCTCCTGAGCTCACTTCCTTCCCAGCAGGAACCAGCTCAGCCCGGAAGCCGAGGTCGACACTCATCTTACGAGAAACGGGGGCAAAGCCCGGGAAAAGCCACAAACGGGCCGTGGAGGCGAGCGCCGGCTTCCCAAATTGGCCATCCTGGGGGAAGTAAAGCCTATGACCTCAGGAAGAGCGTCGTGT